GGAACGGAACTAAGGCATATTTCATAAATTGGAAAGCAATAGAATTAGTAGGGAGAAGAAAGTGAATAAATGGTCAAATACCATTTGATGTTACAACGCAGTGTTATATCTCAGTTTTGTCTACGCTATTATTCAACCTTTTCAACTAAGTACGACCTAGCTGAGAACTCAAAAGCCAGGAAAAAAATGGATTCTCACAACAGCCAAACCTGCCAGTCATACTACGAAAGAAAGCTCAAGTGCTTCTCTCATGACAGATGGGTAACCACTTACATCCTTACTTTAAACAGAATACTAAGAAGTCTGGGTATGTTTCCTTTGTCAGTGGCATATCAAAAGGAAATCTGAAGCAAAGAGAGATCTGTAGAGACTGGCTTTTTTCCGGTGATAATGACTCTGATTTTACTCATTACATCTATGCAACTATCCACTCCTCTTCTGTCCTCCCCACACAACCAACCGTACACTTTTGCAAGATGACAGGGCTATTTAAAATAAAGACTCAAGTCTATAAATAGAAAACCATTTTCTTTTATATGTTAACTTTCCCTGGCAAATGACTCTCATCTCCTGTCATCTTTCTACCAACTAAGCAACCTAACCTACAAAAACATGTTTACGCATAGGCATGTTTATAAATATCTATATGTAACTAAATCCGAGTGCGTATTTTCTTCCTAAACTCATGAATATTTCGACCTCACTCATTAGGTCAGAGTGAGGCTGGAGGATCGGCGTCAGCATGCCTGGGCTTCCCGTGCTGACTCCGCCAGAATTACCTTAGATGAGTCTCCAAGTCTCCCAGGGCTTTTGCGTGTTTTTATTTTTATTATTAGTAAAATGCAGATTCAGAACTTAATCTCTTATTTGCTTCCAGTTCTAAAACATTTTGGTTATATGAGAAATGTAAACGTGGGCATCACTCATTCAAATTAAACAGTCACTTCCGTCTAACCAAGAGGAAGAACGGTTATCAGAAAGCAGCCAGGATCAATACGAAGTGACAGGTCATTAAAAGAAAAGAGCAGAGGAGGCTAAATTTTGAACAGGTAAAACTGTTTGTTTATAATTTCAAAGTTTGGTCCCCTACAGTCTGTCAATGAAACATCAAGAAAGCAAACAATTGAAATGTCAGAACTAACAGTTCTGGGTAAAAACAGAGAGAACCTCAAGTCATATTTTCTCTGGCTACTCAAAGTGTTGTCCATCAAAAACATGTGAGAACATAAATAATATAAATTATCATTATTATAAAACCATGATTATGCTACACCTCAGAGAAAATACCTGCTCTCATTTTGGTATATTTCTTTCTTTTTCTATGTGCATAATAAATTTTTGTTTAAAACTATATTACGTTTTTCATTCTGATCGGAAATATATTTTTAAAGGCTTTATATTCAATCATATAGGTATCCCAAAACTTAACTGGGCTCTCACTTTTGGACACTAAAGCTGTTTCAAGTTTTCATATACAACAGGTGTTACAACAAATATACATAAAACTTGGGGTACACATCTGCTTAATTCCTTAGGATAAACTCAAGAAGCAGACTGAGTCAATGCATATGAACATTCTTACAACTTTCCTGATATATACCGCTCGACTGCCCTTCAAAACAGTAGCACCTGCTCCTCCTACCTTTTAGTGTAAGACAGATGGGGTTTGAATAAGAGGAGACTAAGTTTCTTAGAAAACAAGTAACAGAATTAGACAAAGTAAAGAAATCACTGTTAAACTAATTAACAATTAAGTATGATCTAATAAAATGGGCTTTACAGTCTGTAAATTTGTTCTCTGAATTATTTGGGGGGTTTCTGACATTATTGAGTTTTGGTCGTGCTTATAATTAAAATCTGTACTCTGATTATAAATCTTTGGTACTGTATTTAGAATCTTAACCTATGTTACCTTTGAATCTAGGATACAGTCCCTAATGGTCACAACAGGGAACCATTTCTATAAATGAATGATACCTGGGGACAGAAACTCTCTTACGAGAGATCTGAAAAATCTAATTAAGAAATGTTTCGAACTAAAAGTACAAATACTGGTTAAGTCATTTCAAATGCTAAAGAAGACAAACAAAAAAAAAATAGAATAAAAAAAGGAGAGGGGAGAAAATTATAGGAAAATAATCTAAAAGGAAAGACAAAAAGCAGAAAGATCAAAATAAAAAGAAGAAAAATGGAAACACACTAAGGCATATTTCATAAATTGGAAAGCAATAGAATTAGTAGGGAGAAGAAAGTGAATAAATGGTCAAATACCATTTGATGTTACAACGCAGTGTTATATCTCAGTTTTGTCTACGCTATTATTCAACCTTTTCAACTAAGTACGACCTAGCTGAGAACTCAAAAGCCAGGAAAAAAATGGATTCTCACAACAGCCAAACCTGCCAGTCATACTACGAAAGAAAGCTCAAGTGCTTCTCTCATGACAGATGGGTAACCACTTACATCCTTACTTTAAACAGAATACTAAGAAGTCTGGGTACGTTTCCTCTGTCAGTGGCATATCAAAAGTAAATCTGAAGCAAAGAGAGATCTGTAGAGACTGGCACTCGGATAATGCCATCACATCTACCAGTGATAAAGGACACACACACACACACACCCCATCACCATCACCACCACCACCACCACCAAGAGCAAAACTCAAGAACGGAAAAAACAATAACCCGAAACTATAAGAAGTGACAAACAACCCAGAATCTCACAATTAGCCCTAATGCATCAGAGTGTGACATCTCTAAGAGATGAAAAAATGTTTAAATTATGATCAGTGAGCTCTGTTTAAAACAGCAGGGGGAGACCACATTTAAAGTGGTCTCTACCGTGGATAATTGAAAAGTGGAGACAGGCTTCAATACCTGAACATTTTATTAGATTAAACATCTCATTCTCCAGCCAAAATAATTATGGTACAATAAAAACAACGAAATAGAGCTAGAGATGGTAAAGAAACTATAACTTTGAACATGAAGAAGATAAAGAAACCATATTTATTTAAATCTATCTGAATGATATAAACATGGTAATGAGGGACCTAGCACGGCTTGTATGTCATCAACCCATATACGTGTGCAATGATCTTGCATTCTGAGCACACTGGCATGTCATGTTTGCCTGGGCATACATACTTTTGTGCTACTTGAATATTGGTCACTTGTGTTCCTCCAAGAAGTTCAAAAACCACATAAAAAAAAAAAACTGCTATCACCTGACTCTTTTCACATTTCACATAGTACTAGAAGTTGTACTTGTCCACAGTTACAACAGAGAATTGCAGTAATTTTAGTACTCAATCAACAATTTACATTTGGCAAAATTTTTGCACTTATTATGTGCTAGGTACCAGCTCTCTATAGGAGGAACAGATTTAATCATAGAAGCTTAAAGACTCCAGAGTTATCTAGAATGTGCATTTATATAATCAATTTCCTTTTTCTCCACCAGTTTCTGCATTACAAATAAAGATAGTGATCTATATTCTTTAGCATCATCATTATAAAACACAATCCAATTTTCTTTTTCTTTGTTTGAATGAAATATAATTTCATCCATAGTCCATTATCTTCTTCAGAAAAACATCATGCTAGAATTAAGAAAATATTAAGAAATTTTATCCTGAAAGAGTAATATTACCCTGTGAAAAAAACTCAGAACTGAGTACTTAAATAAAACTATAATTTTTACTACCAAAAATTTGTTTTACATTGCAGGTGATTTTGAAGTGAAGACAAACCGGATAACAGTTTGACCAAACATATTATCTAAGATCTTTCTTTAGATTATCGAAATCTGTATCTAGTGAGCCATCTAGCTTTCCAACTTTCAATGTCACGGTAACATGTAAGAAAAAGCACAGAAAACAAATTCACTGATGAAGTAATCTTGCCCAAAAGCTCACACTTGAGTCTGATCAAACCTCTATATCTTTCAATTAAAACAAAAAAATGTAGGACACAAAGGAAATCATGGGGACACACAATCATCAAAAATGCAGTCTATGAGAAATGCTACAAGACAGATGACCCAGTTTCTTCAACGAATCAATTAACAGGGTATCTCAACACTTCATTAAAACCCACAGCTTCTTACCTCCCTGACACCTGACAGAGTTTCCTACTCTATGGGGTACTTGTATTACGGCACTTTGATCATTATACTGTATCACATGTGTGTCTCTCACTGCAGGACCGGCATAGCAGAGTACAACAAAGTAGCTTAGAACAGGACTCTAAAGCTAGAGAGTCTGAGTTGAAATCCCAATTTCGCCCCTCGGTTAACTCATCTATAAAATGGAGAAAAATACCAGCTGTCGTGCAAAGAAATTTTAAGAATTCAGTGAGAAAATATACATAAAGAAAAATGCTTGGCATATCTTAGGCAGTTAGCACAATGCTTGGCATATCTTAGGCAGTTAGAAACTATCTAATAAGTGAATAAATGAAAACCATAAGCAGAAAAATTACGTAATTGTGAATTTTACCTCCTTTGACTTCATCTAACCACCCTTCTACAGTATCTACGGAACAGTAAAGGGCCAAAATGGCCCATAGTAAGAAAAAAATTGGGAAAGATAACTGAAAAACAACAGGCTGTCAATTTCTAAACAACTGAGCTTGGCTCTAAAGTGTTAAGAAACAGTTTAATCACAGCAAATACCACCTGATGAGGAATGGAGTTATTAATAAAAGGGCTAATCATGATCAAACCTCTTAAAAGTAATCAAACTTATTTTCTAACTAAAAACAGTCAACATAAACATCTTCAAGCATAATTCTTAATAAAAATTTTTTTAAAGAATTTTAAAATTATCAACATTACTGTTCTGAATCTCCCCAACTTATATTCTCTGAACCAGGTGAGTGATATGGTAGAAGCCAAAGAACAAAAAAGTTCAATATAGCATCATCCGAAATTCTGAAAACATTCATTTGAAGACGTGTTAATTTGAAAATAAAATTTTCAAATAATATGAAAATACTTACATCTCAATTTGTCCAGCATTTTTCCACCACACATGGTTGCTAACATAGCTTTAACTGAAAATACCGTCAACTTGCCTCGGCCCTCACTGCAAAATAAATTACATTAGAAATAATTGCTATCTGGAACCACAAAAGCAATCAAATGTATCACTAAAAAATCGAGCAACCAATAAATTGATCCTCACCCTTACTGCCACAACATTACCTTGGATTTTTAGTAACCTGGATTTTTTTTTCTTTTGCTAGGCGAATGGTGCTAAAACTAACTTGAATTATTTGGAAATGAGTTTTATAAACATTCTATAAAGCAATTTCTACTGGTTGTGTAGGCAGAGGCCAAACGGATGAACCAGAAGTAAATTTCCATTTCTATCAACTCAGCCCATTAAATCCATAGTTGAGGTATTTTAAGAATTTAAAACTGAGGCACCACCTGTTTTGAATAATAATTCAGAAATGTGTCCTTCCATAGTGATATTTTAACAAGTTTATTGTTGTGTACTAAACCAACAAAGTGCACACTGCTTAAAGATTTTATAGTACATTAATCTTTGTTTTTACTATGACAGCCTTGAAGTTACCACATTTATTCTAAGAAACTCAATCACATCTGTCTCAAATCTTCCTATACCACAATTGTGAGAAAAGTGAAGGGGAAGGGGTAGTAATATTAATTCTTATTTAGGAATTGGAAGGATGAAATGTAGAAGAACATAAATGAATTATCCAAAGTAACGCTGCACACTGCCTGCACAGCCAAGACAGTATCGGCAAGGCCCCCGACCCTCAGTCCACTGCTCCATTCATTCAACTATGCCCTGGTTTCACAGCAGATGAAAACTTCATGAGCGGTTTTTAAAGTCATCATATGTAAATTAAAAGCATAAGAGGCTTCTGTGCTAATTTTATATGGCTTGGGCTTACACAGTTTCATAGTAACTTAGTAAAATACCTGTACAATAATGAGAACTATTATTACCTCGGTTTTGAAAAGCAAGTGACATCCTATTTATATCTACTAACAGTCCTAAGAGACCATCTCCCATTTTCCAGACCTTCTCTGTATACAGCAAGATCACACCCGAAAAAAGGCAAATGGTCTACGAGCCAGAAGGCTCTCAGAGAAAATGCAGTCAGGAAATGCCAATGTTTGCTACAGTCAGATTTTTAATTACTATATTTCATTAAGTTTATTCATCAGATAAAAGAAAAATCCGTAAAATTAGCTAAAATTAGGTGGGGTTAGAAATATAGATACTGTCCTCTGTCTTACATGGTACCTGAAAATATGGCACTTGGAAATGATAAGGAATATGCCTATGTTAGACATCCATTGTGCTGTATGAGCCACGTCAGTGGCTATAAAAAGCATCCATTACGTTAAAAGGAATGGATTTCTAAGACTGGTACAGAACTTTTACGGTGAACGATTCCTTTGGTCCCCAACCATCCAAATGTTGAGCCTACATTTAAACAGACCCCACCTTATACAACAAGGATTCTTCCCAGTACCAAAGAATGAAGAAAGAAAAACAAAAACAAAAACAGATATTTGCTTTCTCATCTTTCTTCAAAACCAAGACATGGGCACATGCACAAGCTCCACTGATCAGATGCGCCACTCTAGACGTCAAACAGAAAACTACTAATTTTTAGAAGGTGGAATTCCCAAAATACACCTGCTGAGGATGGCAGCAGCCAGAGCAGTTACACCCAGTGCCTGGAGGCAGCACCCACCGCCCAGCATCAGTAGTGTCTGGAGCACAAGCAGCAATACCTGGGCCCAGACTGGTGGCAGAGGTGCTTCCTGAGACCACTCTGTGTGACCGAGCTGTGTTCTCGGCAGCGTGGTCTTCAAGCCTACACTTTCCCAACCCTCTCGGAGAGTCTTCAATAACACCCACATCCTTTTAAAAACATGAGCCAGAGATGGTCTCTGCTGCTCATAATGAAGAACTCAGAAGGAGGCAGCTTCTGTCCCAAAGTCAAGTGGCCCAGAAAGATGAAGCAACGACAGAAAACAGTCCTGAAGTCCAGCGTGAGGGGAAACGTGCCTTATGCTCAGCAGAGCAAGATGGAAGACGTGCTCGCGACCAGAGGACTCAGGCCTTTGCTGCGCAGCCGATGACGCTGTTAAAGGTAAACATTTTTTGCAGACACAGATCTCATGATGCAAGAGTATCCAGGAAATTCCACGGGGAAAAGTAAAAATTAACCTTAGAAGAGATTTCCATAAAAATCAGGGTGCTGAATACACGTGGGAAAAGAGAGTGGGCTGTAACACAGAAGGAGTTCTGAGGTGCCGACTGCAATCGATTTCTTGGCCTCTGTAGGACTTACGTGGATATTTGCTTCATAACAATTTATTTTAAACTGCGCTTCATTTTCTGTAATTGTTTTCTATTTCTCAACAAAAACTTTTAAGAAATGAATTGTGCAAATCTGAAAAATGTAATTTGAAATCCTTAATAAAATTTGCATTTAATTTTATAAAAATGAACCCTGGAAAAGTGAAGGTTACCATTAGGAGACAAAGCTAATGGTTTAAGGGGGTAAATGATGAAGGAGAAACCTACAGGTTAAAAGACACTTAAGATATATAAACTACAATGCGTAAAAAATTTTCCATAATAGAAATTTATAAAACATTAAAAATACCAAGGCCCAGGCCCCATCCTTAAATGTCCACTAACAGAAGACTGGCTATTCGTGCTATCATAAAAAAAAAAAAAGAAAAATAATATGTAAAAGATAAAAATATATCTAAGATAGTTTACTAAGTAAAAAAAAAAAAAAGCAAAGCATGGAACAAAATAATTGCTAGAATTCAGTCTAGCAATTATGTTAAAAAGGAAAGAGTAAAAATATTCTCATATACAGACAGTCCCTGACTTATGATGGTTCTACTTACAGTTTTTCAACTTTATGATAGATGGAACAAAAGTGATATGTATTCAGTAGAGATCATGTCAAATTTTGAAATCTGATCTTTTCCCAGGCTAGCCATATGCAGCATGATGTTCTCCCATGATGCTGGACAGCGGCAGTGAGCCACAGGCCACTAACCGGCCATGCGTGACAAGGGTCAACAACCGATACTCTGCAATGTGTTAGCAAAGCATTTTTGACTTGACAATATTTTAAACTTATGATAGGTTTATCGGGACATAATCCCACATTAAGGCGAGGAATATCTGTATTTGTTCGTATGTGTATAAATTATCTGTGAAAGGATCTAGAAAACATAACATAACAGTGAGCGTGCTTATCCTAGAAAAGAAGGTTCCCAAGTCATAATCTACGCTTCCCACTTAAGACACTAGAAAAAGAATAGCACATTAAATCCAAAACAAAAGGAGAAAAATAATATGAGTAAGAGCAGAAATCAATAAAACAGAAAACAAAATGAGCAGAAAAGAAAAACAAAAGAAAAATTAATGAAACCAAAGCTGGTTCTTCAAATAAATTATTAATATTGATAATTCTCTATCCAGACTAAGAAAAAAAAGAGAGAAGACACAAATTACCAATATCAAGAATGAAAGATGGGTTATCACAAGTTCTACAGACATTACAGAAATAATAAGAAAATATTTTTTAAAAAACTTTATGTCCATAAATTCAACCACTTGGATGAACTGGACAGACACAAACCACTTCTTGAAAAACACAAATCTACTAAAGCTTACTCAAGAAGAAACATAACCAGAGCAGTCCCATATCCATCATAGAAACTGAATCTGTATCCTGAAGCCTTTCAGAAAAGAAAGCTCCTTATTCGGAATGCTGTACTGGTGAATTATAAACACAAATAAAAGCAGCAATAATTGCATTTCTATACTAACTCTTCCAGGGAATAAACAAGCATTATTTTGATACCAAAAACAAAGACATGAAAACAAAAGAAAAGTTGGGGTATCCCTCATGAATTTAGACATAAAAATCTTCAACAAAATGTGAACAAGTCAAATGCAACAATATATGTAAAAAGAATAAAAATCACAACCCAGAGAGCTTTAGCCCAAGAATATTACCACGGATTTAACATTTGAAAATCAATCGATATAATTCACCATATTAACAGACTGAAAGAGAAAAGCCATGTGATCATCTGAATAGATGCAGATGACAAAATTCAACATCCATTTCTGATAAACAATCTCAGAAACCTAGGAAAAGAAGGGAACTTCCCCAATCTGATTATGGGCATCTTAAAAAATAATAACAGCTAACATCATGCTTAATGATGAAAAACTAAGTGATTTTTCCCTAAGATCAAGAATAAGTCAAGGATGACTGCTCTCACCACTAGTAGACAGCATCACACCAGAGAACCCGGCTGGTGCAACAAGACAAGGAAAAGAAATAAAAAACATACAGGATGAAAATGAAAAAATAAAACTATGTCTACTCCAGCCAGTATAACCATCTATGTAGAAAATCCCAAAGAACCTAGGAAAAAAAATCTACAGACCCTACAAAAAAAACTATAATAAGGGATTTTAGCAAGGTTGCAGAATACAAAATACATACAAAATTCAATTTTATTTCTACAAACTAGCAAAATAGGGAAAACAATAGCACCAAAAATATAAAAGCATTGATAAGAATTTTTAAAAACATGTGTTCAAGATCTATAAAATGAAAACTACAAAATACCGATGAAAGAAATTAAGGTCATAGATATGCCATGTTCAGGAAATCAAAGACTCAATATTGTTAAAATGTCTATTCTTCCTAAGCTGATCAGAATCTTGTTGTGACTCAATGCAATGCCAATCAAATTCACAACAGGATATTTTTGTAGGAATCAACAAGATGATTCTCCTTAGAGCTGTAAACCCATACAAATCTCAATGAGGTATGAATATAAAGATACTATTCACATTCCTAAAGTCCATTCTGTTCTTAGTATTTTTTACAAGTTCCTCATGTTATTTTAATATGTATCCAGAGCTGAGAACCACCAACACAGAACTTTGAATGCAATATTAAGGCTTGAGCTTCTATTTCGCAAGCAATCATAAATCAAAAGACATAATAAAAAACTAAAGAAAAGTAATCATGCTGTTTTGTACAACTCTTT